AAGATGTGGCCTAAAGTCAAGTCATTCCAGGTGGAGGGGATGGCTCGAGCAAACCCAATATAGCTTGGCCTATTTCAGGAACCATAATTATTCCAATATTAGCAAAGAATAAAAAGAAAAACGGATGAAAGATGACATTGGAGAAGTAATCAGAGCCAAATCATGAGAGAGATGTATACAGCATTGCTTCATTTATCCAAAATTAGCAGGGAACAAGCATGAGGTTTAGAATTAAATAGCTCCAGGTTGGAAATCAAACTCCATCATTTTGTTCATGGATCTCTCTAAACCTCCATATCCTCATCTGTAAAACCAGGAACATACACAAACCTACTTTATAAGGTTGCTTTGGGGGAAAAAACATATATAAATGCTAAGAACTGGGCCTAGTATATTTTACGTATCCAATAAATGTTAGGGATTGATTTTTGCTATTGCGATTATTGCTGATGAGACTTTTTTCCACATTTGTAAATTTGCAACATAACTGTAGCATATTTTCTTGAGCACCAAAACTTATTAAACCCTCTTTTTCCTAAACTACCTTTTCAAAGTGAATTCCATAAATCTCCAACTTACAAACACCAAACTTACATTTTATCTGTACAGATGGCTGCACCTATGCTTATCCCCTCCTCTCCCAATGCCCTTCTCCTGCCACCAGGACAATTATGGAAATTGCTGAGCTTTTAACATCCCTATTCAAAAATAGGGAAATAAAAGAGGCCACATAAAGGTGGAACTGCTGAAAGTACTCGTTTATTCAGAATTTTGAAAAAGAAAGAACTTGACTGCTTTGAGTAATGGTTACCACCCAATGAGTCGACAGAATTTTCAAAACAACCACTTCACTATATCAACCTCTATTCTATTCCCCAAACCCACTGGTAACAGTGATGTGCCATCTCTGCCAATAGCTAACATGCAGCCAGTACCATTAGATCCTTGATGTTTGTCCATTTCTAATGAGCCACACCTTAAATACATTCAAAGATTCCAGGCTTCGTCTTACCATCCAGCCCACTTTTCTATGGTGGTCTCCATGGGTGACTTAATAACTTTCCATACAGTAAACACACCAGGCACTTCTAACTCTCTCCGCCTTGATCTTTGCTGTTCTCTCTGCCTGGCATATACTTCTATGCTCACCTCTTACCACGATGCCACCCTACCCTCCTTGGAGGCTTACTCCAAACACCACCTCCTCTCTGAAACCCGATTTCCCTCCCTTCAGTAGAATTAAATGTCATGTTGTGGGAACGTCCCCAGCATTCACTGGTGTTTCTGTTGTTACAACAATCACGTATTAAACAGAGATAGGTGGCAAGCATCATTCCAGGTGCCGTCTATATGCTATCATGTAGTTTTCACCAGAAACGTGTAAGACATCCTTACAAGCCCCAATTTACAAATCGAGGAACTAAAGCTCTGAGAGTTGGACTTACCAATGATTGCACAACTGGAAAGGGATACAGCCAGAATTCCAACCATGTTCTGACAGCTCCCAAATCCGTAACGTTTTCACTCTGCTATGTTTCCTCTCTTTGATGGCTCTGTTTCCAGTTAGTTAATTATATACATTATCTGTCTCTTCCATTGGATTATAGCAACTCCCTTGAAGACCAGGGCATGTTCATTTTCATAAAAGTGGATAATGATATATCCATTTCTACAAGATACTTATGAGGATTAAATGAGACAATACATACTAGCATAGTGTCAGGCAGATAATAAGCACCTAATAACTTGCTAGTTTAATTGTTACTATTATTGTTATCATGTCAAGTGCCAAGAATAAAGCGTTGCACATAAATTCTGAGTTCGGGTTCATTTCTGAGGAGCAAATGAAATGGATGAGGATCTCAAGGAAGAAACAAACACTACTTTGGCTTGGCATTTCCCACAATATCACTTAATCAAAAGCAACAAGAATTAAGAAAGTTTCTCTAATAAGTTCTATTGATTCCTTTATCTTTCTATCACCACATAAATATTACGAAAACTTCCTGTTCTGTTCAAAACTTTTACAGCTTTCTTACTTTCTTCCTGCCATCTCCTATGCAGTTTGACAAGGTTCTCCTCTGAGAATTCAGTACATATCAAGTACTGAGCTAGAAGAAGAAGAAAATTACGAAAGTAAATGGAAGCACAGAGGGCAAAATAAAATCTTAAATTTTGGTGTTTATAAACAGGGAAACACTCTCTTTTCTCTTCGTACAATTTAACCATATGTTGTCATCGTATTTATTTAATTGTGTGTCAGTCATCCTCTACTAGGAGGCAAGTTGTTAGAGGAGGCGATCTATCCATTCTATTCACTGCAATCCCCTAAGGCCTAACACGTATCTGATGCAGAGTAGTCACTCATGAAATATTGGTCAATTGACTGATTGCAAATGTTTGTATTTACATATGTATATACATATATATTTTTACACATATATGACACCATTCCATGATTTGTGAATAAATTCAAATAAAACTCTACATATAAGTGCACCTTGTACATTTGTGTGCATATATTCGTATTTATGCAGAAGATGTTTCAGACTGGAGAAAAACAGATGCTTGTTTGTCAAAGTTGTGTCTCCTTAACATGATCATGGCTTCTGACTGACCGGTCTAATATTTCACAAATAAACACGACTGCCATATACTAACAATCCAAATGTGAAAGAACATTAAATGCGCATGTAAAAAAAATAATTAACTCAAGCTATGAAACTTCTCCTACCTTTCAAAATGCCTTGTCCCTGTTCATTAGCATAAGTGTACGTGGTTGGGGAGAGGGGTAAGGACCAATAATGTTTACCTGTAAATCTGGCAGGAGAAACATTCCAAATTCTCATGGGCTGACCAGATTTCCTTATTTATGTTGTAACATATACTAGAAATTATAATTTATAACAATTATAAAGCAACTATTTTCTGGGTACACAGTGTACCAGATCCTTGGCATCAGTTTTTATTAAAAATTTAAGCCTTCTAACAACTCTGCAATATAGATAAACAAGAAAGCCAGGACTCGAAAAATATAGTAACTTGCCAAAGATTCTCTGCTGTTCATCTAGTCACAGCATACTCAGTGTACAAATTCAGAATTCTACTCTGAAGCTCAAACTTATTTCAATAAGCAATGGTGCCTTTTACATCGTTTTACAGCCACTAACTTTGAGGGATATGTGTTTAGGTCGTTTTTATAGTGTATGGATTTTAATAAGTAATTCCCTGCACATAAAGACCAGACCAAATAACATCCAAACACACTGAAGATTACTCCAGGCTACAGAAAGCAAGGAACAAATGTGTCTCAGAAACTATCAGCCTGTGTTTCTCAGAATATGAAGCATTTTCCACTTGATTGTGTCCTCTAACAAGAAATCTATCCTCTAACAGGGCTTCATTATTCCTCCTCCTATATTAAAAAAATAGACTCTTTCATTGCAAACCAATGGGAAGTTCTTAACTCATTTCCTTAGATCACTTGAAATGAAAGTGCTTTCTGTCTTTAGGGAAAATAATTGCTGGATGTGATGCCTGTGCCTGCTTTTGAGTCCCACAATCTATACTGTGAAGGAAAGAAAAAATTAACCCTTATATACTTTTAGAAAGAGTGGAGTTATTTTTAAATTCAATGATGGTAGAGTTCTAAAAAAAACAGAAGGAAAATCCTGCCTTCCAAGGAGAATGCAGTTGCCTTCCTCTAAACAAATTGGCTCTGTTATCTTTTTAACTCTCTTTCCAGGAGGAGGCCTCAGAAGGAGAAGGAAACCATATGTTTAAAAAGTTTTTAAAAATGTATAGATGCTCCTGAATATTTGTAAATAACTGTAGTGAAAAATGTTTACATGAGAACTCACCTGCCCCCGCACTGATTAGAAAGATCCCCTGCAGAGCAGAGGAAAGCATTTCCAACCACCCAGACCACTACAATCACAGGAAGAAGCCAACGGCAGCATCTTCAGCCCCAGAGACTAAAGGTGAAAGGGGCACCTCGCAGTGGTGGAAGCACCCGTATGTTCCCTCAACATGCCCGGGGAGGTGGAGAGGAAGGGGAAGCAGCTCTGCCTTCCCTCCAATCTAACTACACAACCCCTGCTGCCGTAACTTATTTTTAGACATTCAATCTAAAATTCCCGGAAAGGAAGCGGATCTACAACCTCTGAGTGATCCTCAGAGTTCTGATTTCCAACCTGGCTTGGGGATTTCGTTTGTTTTCTGACTTCAGGTGCCTACTTAAAGTACATCTCCCATCTTCCGGAGGCATCCACAGTCTAAGCCAATAAAAAGAGCTGGGAGCTTTGAAGCTTTAAGTGATGAAAAATCCAGCACCCACAGGTCAAAAGTAATGACCTTGGGGAAGTTACTCATCCTTCTGAAGAATCAATTTGTGGTCAACAAGATGAGATAATAATACTAGAAAGTTGTTTGACGTTTCAACACAAAAATTGCACAGTATCATCTCTTAGTAGGACGTCAGTCAGTACTATGTATTTGCTGTGGGCACACTGCGCAAAGCTGCGGGATCCGTCCATGTGTCCACTGCCCATTGCTCCGACGTTGGGGATTTATGTTACCAACCGTGCACCTCACCTCGGGGAGATGCCTTTTACCTGCTTCTTGTTCCCTACAGCTTCAAATGTCTGCAGAGCCCAAGAGATAGATTCTCATTAAGTGCAAGAGACTAAGTTATCCTGGGTTCTCCTTCCCTCTGTTTATCCGTAAATTGTTAAATAAAACTCCGCTTTCTGAAGAAATGCGTCGAGTCTTTACCTGCGCAAAGCAAGTGTCTGCACATCTCTGGGGGTCAGGGGTGGGGAAGGGACCCTAACTAAAGTCTCCAGGTTGGGAATGGCACAAATGGAGGGAAAGGACACGGAAGAGCGGATGAAAGGGATGCCTCTGCGAGGCGGTGCAAGGCGGTCCTCGCCGGTGACCCTGTCCTCTGCACTAGGGGAGGAAAGGACGCTAGAGGGGATGAGCCGCGAGGGCAGGAGTACCTGAACGCTCTGGCCGCGGTCTGGTTCCTCCTCCACGCCGTGCCCTGTTGCAGCACACCCTGCACGATCTCCTTCTCGTTGGGCAGCCGGTAGACTGGAAAGATGTAGAGCCAACAGAGGACCACGACACAGAGGGCACTGGCTCCCATGGGCAGCCGGGTCCGCGGGAACTTCCACGCCAGTACAGCCATGGCCCCTCTGGACGTTTGTCGCCGGGCCCGCCCGCAGGGGCTCATCGCAGCCCCGGCGTCCCAGGGGCGGGGGCCGGGGCCTCAGCACAAAGCTAGGCGAAGTGGCAGCGGAGAGTCTCCCACCGCCGGCCCCCCATGCACACACACCTTTCGTTCTCTTGCTTGCAAACGCACGCACGCTTCTTCTGCCCCGTCGGCCCCAAAGGTCAGCGCAAGGATTTTTTTAAATGCAACTTTTCCAAGGATTTCTTTCTAGGGGAAGTGGCTGGGGGGCAAGTCACGATCTATGGCCATGGTCGCTTCCCCTGCAGAAGGCGGGCGCTGGGGTCTCCGAGAGCGCAGACAGCGGTGGCGGCGAGTCGCTCCGGCCGGTTCTGCCGCATCACGGTCGCCCTCGGCGAGGGTCCGGGAAAAGGCTCGGCTCTCTCCCAGACATTTGGCCCGTGGCGTCCCCTTGTCCCCTTCCAAGCGATGCTCCTGCGCCCTTCGCCACCTCCCGCGCTACTGCGCCGCCAGGCAACCCCCCCAGACTCGCTCTCTGCGCCGCGCCAAGTCCTTGGAAATTTCCACGGCGGCCCGGGACCGCTATCCTGCCCCGGGCTCCTCCGCCTCGCCCGCCAGGACCCTCGCTCTCCACCCCTCCCGGAGAAGAAAAGAACTCGCTCTCATCAGTTAATTCAGCGGCGCGCCGCAGCCTTCCGCTGCGCCCTGGACTTCGCAGACAAACGCCCGGGGATTGGTGGAAATCAAGGTCTCCCCCTCCCTCCCCCACCCGCAAAATTGCCTCTTTCGACCAGATCCGAGCCGCGACACTCGCCCAGAGCGCGCACCCCTCACTCGTGCCCTGAAGATAACGGCAGACAATAAAAAACAACAGCCCCCGCCAGTAGAAATATTATCAGTCCCTGAGTGCGGCGGAGACTGGCTAATAGCCTGACCCTTCGAAACGCGGCCGGTGTGCCCGGGCTGTCACCCTGCTGCCGTCACCCTTGTCTTTCTCTAACTGGTTGGATATTAACCCGCAGCCAGGCGCGAGGAGGCTGGCGGAGATTTATTCCTTCCTGGGCCCCCACCCCCATTAGCCGGTCCCGTAGCCGCGGCCCGTGTGCGCGCGCGCGTACACACACACACACACACACACACACACACACACACGTTCACGGGCGCAAGCAAGCGCGCTCACGAGGAGGTGCGTGCACTCCGGGGTCCTCCGCCTCGCCTCCTCCCTGCAAGGAAAGGCACTGCTGCATCCAGATGTGCAGGCAGCTGGTGCCCAAACGCCAGACCTCAAGATGTCACATTGCCTTGGAGGCGCGCGGCCTTTTGGATTAAAGGATCATTGGTTCTTAGACGTCCCTCTTGCTCTTCTTGCTTGTGATAAGCGATAAGCTTATCGCAACCCCGACCTTGGAAAAGCGCCACCCGCCTGGACCCACCGAGCTGAGGGAGTCGCTGTTAGCCATTTCTGCTCTCCTCGGCGGCGACGCATAGCTTGGGTACCTCCTAGCGGTCGCCTATTCTATTTGCTTAAACATCTCGTCAAGCATAAAGTGTGCAAGGACAAAGAAGAAACCTGGTCAGCTTAGTCATCACGAAAACAAAATCTAAGGCTATAACTCCATTTGTTCAGCCAACTAGGCTGCGGTGCCTGGTATCTTTCTCTAGCATCCTTCTCCACTGAGAGGTAGAACTTGAGAAGTTGATGCAAAGTTATTTACCAAAAGCGATGTAGCATCCCAGATGACCACTTTGGTGTCATTTTCTCAACAATACTGCGCTCTCTTAGTTGAGTGACCTACTGCCCTCCACCGGCAGACGCGCCCCAGAAATCTCTGTTCTACTTAGGTAAATCAGTAGAGACAGGGGAAACCTTGAAATCCCAGTCACATCTTACCACAGTGGAGGCTAATACAGATTCTTTAAAATGAAGATCATCGTAAGTCCTGCAAAGTTAACCAGTCAACTCTCTTCTATTCTGGAAAAGGGGAAGGGAGGAAGGAGCTTTTCCTACTTGCCTGGGCTTTGGATAAATCATCTGCCATCTCTGATCTTATAATTTAAGTAAAACACAAACCATTCCCATTTCTCTTTTCTTCCTCAAGTTCAAGGGATATTTGTAGAGTAAATAACAAAGAAATAAACTGGCAAACAAAACTAAGGCATATTACAGTTATGAAGGGGCTATGTAAATGTTTCTCCATTTAATATCATAATAATGCATTAAAGTCATACTTTATATCAAAAGATCTGTGTAACACAATGTACTGTTTTTCTTTCTTCTGCAAACTAAGAATTCTCTTACCCTGGTGGGCTTTTGCCCACCCAACAATCCAAACTTATTCCCTGCTTTTTCTTAACGTGAGCCCCAAATCTAATCAGGCCATCGCTCTCACCCTTCCAAGTCATACTACATTGGTCTGTTCTCCCATTACTACAAAGAATACCACTGAGACCGGGTAATTTGTAAAGGAAAGAGGTTTAATTGTGCCACATGGCTGGAGAGGCCTCAGGAAACTTACAATCATGGTGGAAGGCAAAGCAAGCATGTCTTACATGGTGGTAGGCAAGAGAGAGAATGCGTGTATAGGATGAACTGTCAAACACTTATAAAACCATCAGATCTCGTGAGAACTCACTATCATGAGAACAGCCTGGGGGAAACAGCCCCCATGATCCAATCACCTCCCACCAGGTCCCACCCTGGACATGGGGGGATTATTGGGAAAACAATTCAAGATAAGATTTGGGTGGGGACACGGAGTCAAACCATATCACACACAGGTCTCAGTTTTGTCACAGTGTTGTGATCCACGCATGGGATGTGTGTTTGGTTTTTTTTCCCCCCATGTATAAATCCAGTGCATTATTCAAGACCAAGCCAAGTAGCTAGAAAGTTCTCATTCAATAATGTATTCCCAGGCCACCTAAAACACAGACTTTATGGGAATTCAAAAAATATTTGTGGTTTCTGCTTCTATTCTCTTTGACCTCCTGCTCTGATTTCATAGTATTTGCTGGCTCTGACAGATGATTAAACACTTAGTTGTGTTGTGTTGTGCCGTGTTGTGTTGTGTTGTACTGCTAGCATTTTTCATATATAACTATGTCTCACCAACTAGGCAGGAAGGGTATTTAGTCTTATGTATCAAATGACAAGCCTGTGCTTTTGATCAAATTAGGACTCCACATGGCATGGCTAAGTGTCTAGGAGAAGAGAAAGAACAATATTTCACATTTTCTTCATGTTCCTCTAGGTACAAACTCAGGCACTTCAACAAATAATTGTTGCTTGGTTTTACAGTGAGATCCTCAAACTTATTCAGTCTATTGCCAAGGCATCATTGTTTAAGGAAAAGTATGAACACCCAAGTTTTAATGTTTTAAATAAAATATTTTAACTGATATTTAGCCATCTTGTTTGTATGACTTACAGTAAGTAGCTTAGGTATTCTTTTATACTTCTGCATCTAAGTATGCTTAGCGGACACAAACAGGATTTCCTCGGGGACTAAACAACTTTTAAAACTATAAATGTGGAGTAGAAAAACGTAAAGGCAGGAGTCCAGATTAAGCAGAATTGTCAGTGATTTGAAATAAAAATTTTAAAAGGCCATTCTTCAGTCTCTGCTCAAGTTCTTCTTGTCAGAATGGCTTGGAATGGCCAGTCAAAAGCATAAAATGATGCCTGTTTCACAACCAATTACTATACCAAGGTAAATAAGGTTGTAGATTGAGAAAGGTTATAAACATAGTTTATCTGAATAAATGCATTTATTTATCTCTACTCCCTATTGTGACCTCACTAAAAGAACAGTAAAGGATTAAAAGAGAAAAAAAATTCAGAAGAACAGGAGAAAAAGAAGGAATACAAAAGCAGACAAAGGATGTCAAAAAGTTCACAAGGAGGAAAGCAATTAAACAGGTGTTAACTGCCTTATCAGGAAAGAGAAAGGTCTGGGCCTTCAAGTAACAGTGTGTGTTTGTGTGTGTGTGTGTGTGTGTGTGTGTGTGTGTGTGCACAAAAACTAGGGGAGCGTAGAGAGAATCCAACAAGAATCAAACTAATTTGTACTACAGGGTTCTTGAAAGGCTCAGAAATAAAAGCACCTAGGACCTCTGGAGATGGAGGTAATGAATTAAACGAAGTAAGAGGTTTGTTGGAAATCTTTAAAAAGGAGCAGTTGAAACATCTAGATCTTATTCCCCAACCTGGCTTGAAATAGGAAGTTAACTCTCTAGAGACTGACCAGCACAAAAGAGAAGACCTACAGATTCTGATATGTGCAAGAGATCTCCAATCAAATGGCCAAATCCCTGTCTAACACCCTCTAGCGAGACCCACCAGTGGATAAGCTCTGCCTACACAGAGTTTCATGGCCTCTTTTTAAGGCCTCCTTCTTAAATATGAGGGGAGAGTCAAGGATCCCTAGACATTTGAAGAGAGTCTCCAACATGAAAGTAGAGACAAAACAAGCAAATAATCACACACAGAAATCAGCCCTAAGAAAAAATGCTAATGCAGGAAACATAAGAAATCTTCAATAAAAACCATAATTAATATTCTCACATGGGCTAAGACACAATCCAATAAAGCAAGAACAAGAGGAATGTTCAGATGACAAAAAATAAAGTCCTTTGAAACTGAAAATATGGTAACAAAATATATAACAGAATTCATAGAAAAGTTGAATTACAAAGTTGAAGAAATATCCCAGAAAGCAGGCCAAAAATATAAAAGAGGGTAAACAAGATAATAAGTTATAGACTCAAACAAAAAATCAATATCTAAACAACAAGAAAAAAAAAGGAGAAGATTTTCAAAGACATACTAAAAAGAAATCCTAAAATTTAAGGGTTCATTAAGGACTCAGTATAATGAATTTTTTAAACCCACACCAAAGGTATATAACAGTGAAATTTTACAAAATAAGAAAGAGAAAATCATGAAAGATTAAAAAAGAAAAATGCATTCAAAAGATTGGAAATTATGTTGGAATTGGATTTATTTAAAGCAAAAAAGCTGAAAATCAACTTTACTTGGGCTCATCAAAGAACTAAAGTTACAAGTCTATTCCCCCCTCCTCCAAATGGAGAGATGAGCAAATCCAGAGCCAGAGTTAAGGTATGTTTATCTGGAGCAAAAGATGTTGAAGCTATAAACTGGTAGGAAACCTTAAGTGGTCATTTGGAACTGGCATAGTGGAATTGCTGGAGGCTGAGTGTGGACTAGAGTGAAAGGGAGAAACTACTGGGGATCACAATCAGGAACTCCTGGAGATCATGGTCAAGTGGGCGTCCACACTTTTATGAGTTTTACCTCCAAGAATCTCACTGATACAGGATGGGGGCCAGGGAAGTATTGGGTAAAGAAGGGCAGTGTCCCTGGAGAGGGCTCCACCCTCAGGCCTGTGCCCACAGACCTAAGTGAGAACAGGCACTCCTGTTTTTGTGCCCAGATGTTGCATTTTCCAAGACCACTCTGGCCCACCATGCCCCCCCATCCTGTTTTCATATAAACCCGCAGCCT